CACACACACACACACACACACACAGATAAGGTTGACACTAGTGAGTTTGCCTACTATAGGTGGTGGGAAGGGAGGGTAAAAAGGGAAGAGCAGGTGGAAGGCACAGGAGAATGATACTCCTCTGAGTTTTAGATTATCATGAAGTATTTTCCTCTGAGTTTTTAAATAGCTTCGACTTAGAGCCATGTTATGGTTCCCATATTCAAAATAAATAAAATCAAAATCTGAAAGGTAGGCAGAGAAACTTCTACTCTTTTTGGAAAACGGAAACTTGTCTATATTATCATGGAGGTAGGAAGGGTCAGGAAAAAAAAAAATAAAGGGCCTTTAAAATCTTCTAGCCTTTAAAGAGTCTGCTACCAACTCTAAAATTGAACTCTACAATCTAAAAAAAGGGAAACAGGCATAGCTTCCTCATCTCTAGAGATCTTTGAGAAGAGAATAGACATTCGGGAGTCTGTATCATCCCAGTAAAGGGCAGGCAGACATGAATGGCCTTTCCAGGATGTGGGRTGTCATCAAGGCTGGATCCAGGCTCTGAATATCAACAGCGTTTTATCTCCAAATCTTATGTTCTCGTTTCCTGCCTTTTCTTCGCTCTTTTGTCATCCACTCAATTTCTTCAACCTGTCTCCATGCCTTATTGGAGGTAATAAGGCTGTAAGGTAGGAGTCAAAAAATACCCTGCAGTCTATGAGAGTGCATAAAAGTCCTGACAGTTTAGACAATCCAGTGTCCAGGACAGTGCTCTTTAAGGAAATAACTATAAACTCCCCTGGTAAAGGAGTTGGAAAGATTTGAATGCAGCATTTAGAATATATGATCAATATATATGTTCAAGTCTCCACTGGGATAGTCCAAGTGAGCCTGTTGGCATGCAGAAGAATCCTGAGTCAACTTGACTTTGCTACTCCACCCTGTAAAGTTGGAAATGGATGCAGTGAAGTCTTGGGAGGAAAGATCTAGATGAGAGAAGATGGAGTACCCTGGATCCAGTAAGGCTCCAAATTGGTCATTGACATTCTGATCCGGCCCCAGTTTCCCCTGATTGACCTTATCATTTTGGGGTTACTCTGGACTCTTTTCCTGGGCCCTAAAACCCAACAGGGTACCTCTTTAATTACTTTTCCAGGGTGCAAGTCTTCTCCCAGGACATCTCTTACACACAAGCTGCCCCTTTGCCCACATTAATTAGTACTAGAAAAGAGAAAGAGTAATTTGTCAGAACATTCACTCCATGACCCATGCTCCAAACATTTTATTCCTTTTTTTTTCTTTCTATTTTTAGCAATGACCTCAGCTGGGTTAAAATTTTGGTTTCTAATGAATCAATTCCATTCATATCATACTTTATTAAAAATAGCAAGTGAATTTACATTACAAATCTACTCCTTTTAGTAAGATTTAGTAAGCTTATCTTTAGCTCTTCAAAGATGCTTAGATATTCAGCAGAGTGGAGTGGGAAGGGCCTGCTTCACTTATTGGTTATGTACTTAAAGAGCAAATTTCGGAGAAGTCATTCAAGCAACTGTCTTTCTCCTTCACCATGTTTTGTGTCCATGTGTGCATCACTAAAGAGTTTCCTCTAGTCCTAAGTACTTGAAAAACAGGGAGTGTTATATAAAGTGATAACTACATCTCCCCAGAGCCCAGTCTTTTCAGAGCTAAACTATGTGTTGTGATAAATACATATTCCCTGAAGAGCCTATCTTGCTTTTGGCACGGCTATCAACAATTTAGATGGGAGGTATCTTAACTCCTACAGAAAAGAAGATTCTACATCTTGGCATGAAAATGGGAAAGGCCCATTAACAAAAGCCACACATATGTGAAAGGATGTGGGGGCAACTTGTGCCTCAGAGCAAAGAGAAGAAAAATTGGAGATTTAAATACCAGTAGTTAGGTTTGAAGCCAAGAAAAAGGGGAGATTAACTCACAGCAGAAATATTTTTTTAAAACTCTTTTATTATATTCATTGGATTTTATTGTTGTTGGTGGTGGGTGCTGAAGTCTGAGGAACCAAGGGCCTGTGCATGCTAAGCTCACATTCTAAACAAAGCCACACTCAACCTCAGCAAAAGTATTAAATAGCTGGATGCCATGTGACAGTTCCCATGCAAGGGTTCCTGATTACTTCTGATCCTCAGTTCTACATGAAATTATTGCTTCTGGACTTGATCATTTTAGTGCTGGAGTTTTCTGTGAGATAAAGCTGTGCATTCCAGATGTATGAAGTTAACAAAAGACCAGTTATTTTGAGCCCGTGAGTTTACTGTGAATGAAGCTATTCACCAAACCTGTTCTTTATAACTACATGACTTACCATTCATGGCAAAAGCCAACCCATGGGTACCAATAGGTGGCAATGACTCCAGAGAGTCACCTTGACAGACCTGGGAATAAACCCTACACACTTGGATTTTACCAATGGTGGATACAAGAAATTGCCCTGATTTAAAAAAAAAAAAAAAAAAAATGCTTTCTTCTTGCTTTTAAAAATTGTTTTTGATTGATTTTCCAATGTCTTTTTTTTTTTTTTTTTTTATTGGTCGTTCATAACATTACATAGTTCTTAATACATCATATTACATGGTTGATTCACATGGATTCCAATGTCTTCAAACAAAGACTCCTTGACAAATTTCCTTTAGAATCAAGTGCTGGGCAAAGGTTTGTTCCTCCTGATGAGCAGTTCCCTAAAATCACACAAAAGGAATTCTGCCACCCCTGTTTTCTTTTTCTAGGTTGGTGGGCAGCTCAGAAGTTAAGTTTAATTGCTCTCATTCTTCTCAATCAGAATTTATGGCTATAGTTTCTTCTCTTAACCAACTTAATTTTTCGCTTCATTTTGGTTTTAAAACCATTTGTGCAACCTAATTTTGCCCCCAAAGTGGGTGGCATATTAAAGAGGTGCAATTAATTCAGGGATTAAAAAGATGCCTCCTTCGACATGTGTTTCCAAATGGCACCACGTATACTCCTGGCGACATGTTTGTTTCCTCCCTCTCCATTGTTTGTTTGAAATGAGAAAGGACAAGAAAACAAAAGCAAATCGAGGGAGGAGGGTTTTGCCTAGAAAATTCCCAAGAAAAAACAACTGACAAAATAACACCCCCTGAAACAGATAGATCTTGCGGAGGATTATGATTTCCATGCTCAAAAGATTTTTTTTTCCCTCTTGTATATAGCTGGGAGCTAACTTTAGCCAGCTCTTTTCCTCAAAAGCTCAGGCAATGATGAAAATTACAATTGTACCCCCAGGTGAGGTCTTAACCACTGATGCATGAAAATGTAGATGTGTTTATGTGTAACCAGATGCAGAAGGTGAAGCTTGCAGAAGAGGTGACATTCATATGCAGGAAGAGACCTGAGAGAGTTCCCCATCCTGATTGCTAACCACACAGGACATCTATGCATTTGTTTTAAATTGTCCATAGGTCATTAACAAGGTCTTAGAAATTAATTAGTTCACTAGTTAGAACTAATTAGTTAGTTCACTTTTAGGTAAAAATACAAGGGTCTTGGGGCTGTTTCCTTCCAAATTAGTTATTTTTTACTTTTTTTGTGTGACTAGTTTCGAAAAGGAAAGATCTGATGTCTCCTAATCCACTTGGAGCACTTTTACTTTTTTTATTTTTATTTTTTTGGATATCTGGAATTGAACTCRGGGGCRTTTAAGCACTGAACCACATCCCCAGTTTTTAAAAAGTTTTTTAATTTAGAGATAGGGTCTCAWTAAGTGCCTACAGCCTTGCTAAGTTGCTGAGGCTGGTGTTGAACTTGCAATCTTCCTGCCTAAGCCTCTTGAGCAGCTAGGATTACAGGCATGATTTGGTGCATTTTTAAACGCATGGGAACAAACACTGACCTTGGTGGGTAGCAGGTGCCAAGAAACATTTATTCATTTTTTATGGTACTGATAATTTACCAGGGGTGCTCTACCACTGAGTTACATCCCTTTTTTATTTTTTTGCCCAGGCTGGTCTAGAGCTTGCCATCTTCCTGCCTCAGCTTCCCAAGTTGGTAGAATTACAGGTGTGAGCCTTCATCCCTGGCTCAAAGCATACGTTAAATAATTTAAGAAAAGGAGACCAGAAGGAACTTAGAACAGCAAAGAAAATACTGGTCTGGGACTTGAAACTCCTGAGTTCCACTCTTGCACTGGCACAGTYGGAACAATGGGCTGTTTGTCACAGAACACCCTAATCTTTCTCTACCTTCTCCCCGCCCAGGAAGCTGACCCTGCAAACAGCATATCCAAAYGTCCTTGCTATGTGGTGTCCCAATTGGTCTGAGCCTGGAGATGACAGAGGGGAAAGAGGGTTACGAAATACATAAATTCTTCCCTCTTCCACCTCTGGACCACAGTGCAAACTCCTCCTGCAGGTGGCGCCTGTTCTGTAGTAGTTCCAGTTCTTGCTTTTGCACCATCATCCTTTGTGTGTGTGTGTGTGTGTGTGTGTGTGTGTGTGTGGTGTGCTGGGGATTGAACTCCAGGGCTTGTGCATGCAATGCAAACACTCTACCAACTAAGCTGTACCCCTTGCCCACCCATCATCCTTTTTTGATTGTTCCTTAGCTTGTCTAGAACTTCCTAAGTGATTCCGTTAAAGATCTTTTCATCTGAACCATCTGGGGGTGAACTGTGTTTTCAGCCAGGCCTTTGAAAGATGATCAGTTTTAGCAAACTGGAAATGTGTTTGAAGTAGTGGGTTGAACTCCAAAGGGCTGGGATCACACCAGCCTTGTTTGGATTCTTTCTAGGAGGCTGCTAGGTGGGAGGATTAATTGGTATCAACACATTCAGGGCTCTATTGACTGCTGCCATTTCATGAGAAGTATAAGACCAAGCATTTCAAGAGAGCCCTGCTATGATTGTAGAGGTTTGGATTCAATGCCGTCCAGAGATCTTAGTGCATCCAGGCTCATGAGGATAAAACAGCCTTGGCTTGTGACCCAACCTAAAGCTTTGGTCCAATGCTAGTGTTGCTTTTTAAAACTTTTTTTTTTTATTGTTGTTTAAATAACAGTTTGACAAGAGGGTGAAGAGATTCCATAATGGGGTAGTCAGGCCAGAATCTTGGCTTCAGGTTGTTGGCAGAACTTAATTCCTTGCACTGATCTAGAAATTTACATGATTATAGGAGAAAATGGCAGGTGGGGGCGGGTTGGCGAGGAGGGGAGGCTAGAATGGGCAATGATGTCCTTAGTCTTTCAAATTTATATATTATTTGTACATATATTTTACATCCAGGTATGACAGTCGTTTGTACCATTTCCCGGGGAGACATGGATGTTTCCAAGGCAAGGCAAGGGCACAGGGGAAGGTATAGAAGGGGGCAGTAAAAGCGCAAGGTGGGGGCTTTGYTCATAGAAGCTGCAGGAGCTTCAGTGATTGCAAGAGGGCTCCGGGCTCAGCGGACGCCAGGTACTGACAGCAAAGCCAGTCCTCCAGCTCCACCCCTCGCCTGCGATCCACCGCCTTCTCTGCAAACTTCATCATCATCAGGGCCCTCTTCATGTCGATCCAGTTATGCAGGGTGCTGCACAGCACCTCCTCAGAGGTGCCCGGTTGCTCCACTAGCTCCCGCCGGGGCCCCCACAGCAGGCATTGCAGCACCCTCTTGGCCTCACCTATGCGGATGCGCTTGATAGGGTCAGCCTCCAGCAGCAAGTGGGCCAGCTGCTGCAGGCCAGGCGAGTAGAGGGACAGGGTGGGTAGTGGAGGCAGGTCTTCCCTCCGRTAGTCCTGTTCCCGCAGCTGGGTCCGCACCTCAAAGGGGTTGGGCTGGTGCAGCAGCTCATAGATGAGAATGCCTGTCTGGAACTCATCAAACTTGCTGTACTGGGAGGCAGACACGATCTCGGGGGCCAGCCGGGCCTGGCTCTTTTTCTGCTGCAGGTTGGTAGTGCTTCCTGGCTTCTGCTTGGCCTTCAGGAAGTTGCTAATGATGAGCCTGGGCAACTGCTTCTCRCTAGGCACACCCTGACAGGTGGGAACAGTTGGGGGACTGGGAGTGACRCTGGCTTGGGGGGCAGAAGGGCTAGGGGATGTGGTAGTGGGAGGGGTGGGGACATTAGGGGAGGGCCCCGGGGAGGCCTGGGGACTGCAGTGCACCAGCAGCAGGTTCTCYAGGCAYAGGTCCCGATGGATGATYCTGTGTTCCTTCAGGTGCTCCAGCCCGTTGCACAGCTGCAGAAGCAGGAAGCACACGCGCCGCTCATAAGCCTCAGGCTCGACCCGATGGCTGGCAGCAGAGTCCCGCACAAAGTCCGAGGCCGTCTGGTGAGGCACCTCTCGGGTGATGACCACTACACAGTCCTGCTCCTGCGCAGGGGGCTGTAAAGGTGGAGCGGGCAGAGAGTCCTTGGGTGCGTCCGGAGAGGTGAGCATGCTGGAGGGCACTGAGGCCACAAAGTGGCCACAATCCTGCTGGATGTTGAAGTGCACGGGCACAGAGGGGCTGCAGTATGAGGCTGTTTTGGGCTCAGGGGTTTTGCAGATCTGTGGGGAGAAGGAGAAGTGAGTTCAGGAGTGTGATCCATGGTTCTGTTCAACAGGAGTTAAGACATTTGGGTATCTACATGCMAAAAGCTAAAGTTAACCACTTAACCTCATACCATACATAAAATTGATTTAAAAGTGGATTTTATACACTTAAGGGTAAGAGCTAAAGATAGATGAAAGAGAATCTTTAAGACCTTGGGTTGAATGCTGATTTCTTAGATACCACACCAAAAGCATGGTCCACAAGAAAATAATTCATAAACTTGACTTCATAATTCTAAACTTTTGTGCTTTGAGATATAGCATTAAAAAAAAATGAGGGTACAAGCCTGTCATCCCAGTGACTCAGGAGGCTGAGGCAGGAGGATTGCAAGTTCAAGGCCAGCCTTAGCAACTTAGTGAGGCCCTAAGCAACTTAGTGAGATGCTGTCTCAAATAAAACAAACAAAAGACTCTAACAAGTGTCTGAGGATGTGGAGAATGGGCCTACCCTTGGAGSAAAGTGTGCATCATTCACATATAGYAGCTCTGTTAAGGCTGACTTGCAGGTCATGCCACCTAGGAGGCAATGCATATTTACCTAGATCTAGAAACTAGGGCAACAGAAGAGAATTTGGGCAAATCCTAAAGCTTGACCCCTGAGTTCCTCCCAAAAAGGAGAATTTCATAATTACTGGTGGGAATATAAAATAGTGCAGCCACTTTAGAACAAGGTTTTCCAACTTCTTAAAACTTCAACATAAAACAACCACATGACCCAGTGTAAGTGGGGTCCCTGCAGAGCAGCCAACAGTGTGGCATTGTGGGATGGTAGGAGGACATTGCCCTGRGGGCTGGATGCATCCTCCTAAAGCCAGATAGGGTTTGCACAGGACTCAGCCTCACTCCACAATCCTCTCATCTGACATGGCAGCTACCTGAAAGCTGATGTGTTGTCTGTGGGGAATTTTAGGGGCAGATGCAGATGCAGACCTTAAATCTTTGGGACTTGACCAAATTCTCTTAGGTTGASCTAGTTTTTAGATCCAGGTAAATATGCAATGCCTAGCTGACCTGACCTGTGGGTCCAGATCTAGTGGAGCTGCTAGGCGGAAGCCTCAGGCTTTTCCTCCAGGGATGAATCACAGCAGCTGAAAGAAAACAGTTAAGTTCTCCAGGGAATGGGAACCCCCAGTGCCCAAAGGCATCCTCTGAACTGAAGGTAGGAATAAACAAAATGGGTGATCTCAAGCTCCTCCGTGGAAAGAGTGCCTGGGGGATCTGTACAACTGTGTCTTTCTTGCCTCTTCCATCTCTTCTGCTGTATCAAGGACAGCATCAGCCACTTGAGCAGCACTAATCTTCATCGAGCTGCCACTCAACTGGAGAGTCTTGAGGCAGCCCTAACAGTCCTCTCTCAGGCCTCAATTTCYCTGTAATTACACTGAAAGGGACTGAAGATGGCCAGTGGTCTCTCTCCGTCAGAGACTGGGCAATCTCACCGAGGCTTTGTAAAAGCAAGGATCAGTGGGTAATCCAGAGAAGAAAAGCACCTCACATCTACCTATAAAATACCATCCGGCCAATAATCCTCAAATAGCCCTTGCTTTGGGCTGCTGCACAAAAATGATTATGGCAGTGTTTCAGAAGTGCCACAATGCTTATGGCTGATGTTTTCAGAAGTTCTACTGCAAGCACCTTTTCAAGGAGATTTATTTATATTGTAGCTATACAAACCTTTCAGCATGAAACCTCACAGAAAAGAATTGCGCCTCCAAGGAAAGTTTTTTTTTTTTTTTCTTTTCCCCTGAACTAATTGGGGGAGGGAGAAGGTAGCACATTAATTTAGTAATCTCTCTATTATGGAAGCAGAACAGAAATAAAAGGGAAGTATCTTTACCCCAGGCATTGCTTTCTATTGCACTAACAAAAATGATTTTGGAATACATGCTCAAAGGGCATTATTTCTGGCTCTTTCTTATTCTAGCCCACCTAGCTGTCCTCAGGTTTTAAATGGCAGTCTTCTGGAACACTATTAAGCTAAAGAAAACTTGTGGGGGGAGGGGATCTTCAACAAAAGAGTCTTACATATAAACACTCAGTGATTGTGYAACCACTGTCTGTAGTACGCTCAGTGCACACGAGGCAAGAGCACCCYACTACCTTCTCACCACAGCAGACACACTGGACCCTTGCACAAGTGAGACCCTGTGTCAACACCATGCACTTTCCCCACAGTGTCTCATCAAATCTCATTCACCCAAAGTGGTGGATGCTATAACAGAGGAGGAACTAAGGTTTTAGGAGGTGAAACTATTTGCCTAAGATTAGACAACTGGGCAGTATTTTGGTTGTTAAAAGCATGGGCTTTGGAATAAAAATCTCTTGGGCTTAAATGCCAACTCCATAAACTGGCAAGTTGTTTGAAGTTATGTTCTATTAAGTAGATGCAAACATCAAATTAACAAATACCGAAGCAGGGATCCCAGGGGAAGTAAGAGGCTGAGGTTTCTGTGGACCTCTAGTCACAATATTTGTATCAATCGATCAATGCATAACCTTGCTTTATGTGTGCTTCAGTTTGGAGACATCTTATTTAGTATATGGTGCTGATCATTAATATTGCCCTGTGGCCTGAAGGAAGCCTCTGCAGCAAACTCATTTTCTCTGTAAGCCATCATGTGCTTGCAACCACTAAMAGCATTTAGTACTAGATGTGGGGGCCGTTTTAAATAGCAAACTCACTAACACAAAGCACAAAAGTRTAAAAAAACCAGGGGGGTGCACTAACATACACTGCAAAAAGTGCACTTGCTCCTTTAGTGTGGAATGAGATGGCAGAGTGACTCTATTCCACCTCAGCTGGGAACCAGTACATGCCAGGACTCCTATTTTTGCCTGTCCTGCACATATCCACAAATGTCTCGAAAGTGCTCTGAGTATATTATTTGTGGGATTACAAATAACTTTGAGTGGGTAGGAGATTTTGTAAATGTGGAATCCACGAATAATGAGGATCAGTGGTATTTATCTCAAAGCTCACTTTCTTCTTGATTTAACTGCAAGTGACAGTTTTATCGTGACAGGGCCATTGTGCAGATTAAGTGAAATAATACAGGTATGTGGCTTTCAGCACCAGGCCTGGCCCACGGTGAGTACTCGATGTGAAATGTTGCTATGGTGACTGCCCTTGCCATTTCACTGAAGCCACGTGGTGGTGCCCTGCAATCCGGAGCTGGCTTGCAGGTATTGTGCAACTCTGAGAAGGCAGCTGCCAGGAGCTGGGAGGTGTTTCCAAGGCCCCCTTTCCTCCAGGGTTTGAAAAGCTTAGGCCCAGCAAACCTGGACCCAGAGCTCCAGTTGAGCAACTGACAATCTGCACAGAGATGTAAATGAAGGAGCAGGGTAAATGGCAATTGGGCTGGATGCATTTCAAAATCAGTGAGCAGGGCCTCTGGCAAGACCTCCAACTTCTTCACAGCCTGCACTGGAGAGGGCTGTGCAGGGCATGTTAACCAGCCCTGGGAGCCCTAGGCAGGGCATCCCCTGAGATCATTCTAAAGTGCCGGATGGGGGATGGGGGGATGGACAGAGGAGAATAGCTTCTTCTCCACCCAATCCTCTCCTCCTCCACCAGTTTTACTTTCACAGGGTCCTGCCCTGGGTTTTGGCTCGTGAACTTTACATAGACCTTTGGTTTAGCTCAAATTTCCAACTTTTTTGCTGAGCCAAGTCTCATTTTAAACTCTGGAGCCAGGGGTCTCACTGATGGGTGAAAATCTGGGCTAAGTCACGTCTGTTAAATAAAAAAGGCCCAGAGGCCTAACGCAGACTCCTAATTACGAGCTGGAGTTGAAGTTCTTGTTGAGAAATGAAACAGCTTGGAAAACACCCACAAGCTAAAGATTTCCCTCTGGCCACATGTCCGAGGAGTCAGTCTTCAAGAGCTGGTTTTATCTCCTGACTGCTGCAGGTCCCTCAGCCCACGGATGGGGGATCCGACATGAAGAACAGGTGCAAGCCTGCTATTGTTCACTGGGGCTTTGCAACCAAGGCTGTGTCAGACTTCAGTGTGGGCTCCCTGCTTAACATGCGCAGGCGAAATGAGCTCGGCTGGTTGGGAAGGAGCCCGGCTCCCCCTCCCTCCGGCTCCCAGATGACTATATTCCGTCTAGACTGGAGTGCTAATGAAGTGGAACAGCTGCACGTGCAAAATGATGCTCACAACCCCCACCCCCCAATTACCAGATGAGGCACATTTGCAAATTGATATTGTCATTCCTGGTAATCTGGTTCCAAGGTTCCTATTCTCTGAATATTTTTCGCTGTTCTCCAAACTCCACTTTTCACCTTTTCACATGGTAGAGGTGGTCCTTGAGCTATCAAGTCTCTGGGGAAGTCCATTAAAGTACCCCTGGGACTCTCTTCTTTGGAGACTGCGGCTTATCTTCTGGTTTCCTTACGGCTTAGACTTCTAGGGGCGATGCTTGTTTTTAACATCCTCTCAGAAAGCACATTTCTTTGCATGATATATTGGAGAATACGGTTAAGTCTACATTATTATAAAGGCCCTAGAATTCAAATGGCACCGGACAATCAGATATAAAACAACCCTTTCATTTGTAAAGTTCAGATTGGTGGCAGAGTCACGTGTCCTGCACCAGCCGGCCAGGCTTCTCTGCTGTGGTCCCATCGATTTCTATACCAAGGGAAAGAGGGATTAAGTCTCTTTCAGCAGACTTTTCCTTCCACAAAATAGAGGGACCATAGCCGGGTACAGTGGCGCATGCCTGTAATCCCAGTGGCTCAGGAGGACAGAGCAAAAGGATTGGGGGGACATAACACCATTGTTAAGCTGAAGAGTCGCCATACTTGATACAGCAGTCATAATAGGAAGGGAAACTCAGGTTTCTTTTCTCTTAACTTGGACTGTGGGAGTGACAGGGAAGTATAGCTTACCAAGAAGGTAGCTGCTGGGTGTAGATAATAAAGAGGCAACGGAGTTTGAGAAATAGCAGCCTAGAATCTCAGGATCTGTGTGCGCTCTTCCTTCCAGTGCCCGCCACCTTGGCCATAAACTTGATTATAAAGCCTCGATTTCTGCACAATAAACTGGATCTTCCCAGTAGCTTCCCCTCTTGCTTTTTTCATGGTAGGCAGCCAGTAACTACAGACAGCCCCTTGAATATACTAATCAGGATTCTCAATCTCAAATTTCTGAAAAGCAAAATCTCAAAACAAATTCCCTGCAATTTCCTTGGCTAATCATCCTATTTTTAAAAACTTTGCTGATGAGCAAGCTACATCACCAAGGCCATTTCAAGTTACTTCACTCTTTGCATTTTTCTAACTGGAAAAATAATATGTCTTGGGATAGAGATAATGGCAGAAAAAGAGTTCAGGCCCTCTCCTCACTCCCTACAGAAGCCTGCATTTATAGAAGGATCAGGAACCCACCAGGAAGGACTGGAGCCCCTGGTACAGATCACAGTGTTGCAAATGAGTGTGGGTGATTCTACTAGCTTGCTCAGAGCTGCCTCACTCTGAGAAAGCAATCAGGTGTGGTACCAACACCCACAGTCCAGCATCAAAGACTAAAGATTTATGTTATCTTGGGTGAATCACTTAACTTCTCTGAACTTTAGTTTTCTTAAGTGGACATAAATAAACCAGGATTCAAATCCATTTCAGCTACTAACTAGTTGTGAGCAAATTACTTAATCATGTTGAGCCTCAGATTGCCAATCTGTAAAATCTACCTATCCTGCAAAATTACTGTTGGAACTATGGGTAACAGTTACTATGTCCAGTCAAGAGTATATGTACAGTGAATGTTCAATAAATGTTATATCACTTGATAGTGTTATTCAAGATGATGTCTAGATCTAAGGAGCTGAAACTCCATTAGAGTTTCCTCAGACTCTAACATTTGAAGAACAATATCTTAATTGTCCATTTCATCCACTAGATTTTAACTCTCTAAGGAATCTCACATTYACCCCTACCTACTGAGATCTTTGCAAAATACCTGGTGTAGAGTATGAGCTTAGTAAAAGTTTGAATAAATGAATGAACTCTGTTGCATTAAAAGATTAACTGTTTCCTTTCCAATGAGATAGCCTGGAAAACACCCACACGCTAAAGATTTTCCTCYGGCCACATGTTTGAAGACATTCCTGAAAGCACAGAATGCATTTTGTACTATAGATCTCATTGCACCATGTCCCGGGCCAGGCAGAGAGTGAAGTCATCGAGCACTAAGTGTTAAAAGGAAGCTCGAGAACCAACACTCCTAAAGCATGGAGAGGTGAGGAGATTCGCTCAAGCCAGGACCAGTAGTCGTCCTGGTACAGAACAGAAGAAGGGGGTGGTACCTACTTTCACAGCATAGGTGCTGCCAGGGTCCTCGGAGCAGGTAGCACAGTAATAAATAGCGTCCCCCGAGTCACAACAGGGCTTGTTACAAGTCAGCTTGAAGAGGGACCAGTTGTTCTCATTGAAGTGAAGCTCCTTTTTCTGGCCGCCCATGAAGAGGTCCTCACACTTGGCCACGAGACGGGCCAGGGACTGCGTGTAGAGCCCCCCCAGCTTGGCGTAGGTGCCTTCCTTGCTGCTGATGCTGCTCAGGAGACTGTGGAGTTGCAGCTGGGTGCTGCTGGAGGAGGCCTGGCTGCACACGCTGAGCTGGGAGGACGAGGTGGAGGTGGCGGCTTTACACTGGAGGCTGGGGCTCCCGCAGCTGCCTTTGCTGCCCACCAGCCCTGGGACGGGGACCCAGTGGCCATTGCCTTTGAAAGCTTTCTCCAGAGGCTCAGAAGAGGAGAAAACGTGGTGATGGCGGTTCCCAGGGCTCAGGGAATAGCTAAAGTGAGTCTCATCATGGACACAGACATTGGTTTCCGAGTGGCTAAGGTTCAGCTTAGGGCTTGTGGTTCGCGTCTTGGGGGAGCCTTGGGTCCAGAAGAAGCCATCAGGAGAAGAGGCTGCCCGGCTCACTAACTTTTTCTGGGGCAGTGGAGGGGGCTGAGCAGGGCCACTGTGGGACACATCCTCAGTGGAGCCCGAAGGGAATGGGACAGGAGCAAAAAGCTTCTTCCCACTGATGGTGGGCGAGTGGGTCGGCTCATAGGGTGGACCTGAAAGAGAGAAGCAGGAACATCAGGGTAGAGGCCAATGCCACTCGGCACCAGGTCTTGCCAGCTTTTGTTTTCTCCCCATCAAAGTAATTCAGTTCATTTTACTTCTTTTCTATTTCTCGAATAGGCAATATATGCACACTTGACAAAATTCAAAATGCAAAGAAGGTACACATTGATCATTAAGTCTCTACTCTGTCCCTTGGTACTCAGTCCCTCTTGCCAGACTATTTCCGCAGTTTCTTATGCATCCTTCTAACAGTCCAAATAGAAGTGCGTCTGTGTGAGTGTGAGCACACACATTTATACAAAATGAGAGCAAATAGTACCCACTGTTCAGAATACCATACCATAACCATCACATGCATGTATCACAATTTAATTAGTCCCTGTTTTTTTAATATTTAATTTTTTAGCTTTAGGTGGATGCAGTATGCTTATTTTATTTTTATGTGGTGCTGAGGATTGAACCCAGTGCCTCATGCATGCTAGGCGAGCACTCTACCACTGAGTCACAACCCCAACCCCTAATTAGTGCCCTCTTGATGAACCCTTTGGTTGTTTCTAATATTTTGCAAACCTGAACATGTATGGTTTGAGTACATTTTTTTTTAAGTTAGGTGTATTGAAGGTGCAATTTACCTAAAGCAAAATTTCTCCCTTTTTATTGTGTAGTTCTTTGAGTTTTCACAAACATCTTGCTGGTTTAGGGGACAGAGTTGGTTCATAGACATCTTAGTAAGAAGATTTTATAAGGAAACGAATCAAAGGAAAGCAAGTCTTTCCAAGGTCCCAGGTTGGGTCCCAGGGTGCCAAACATGAGTCACACTGAATCTGATTRGGAGGAGGTTTAGTCAGGGCCACAGATCTCTGAAGAGTGTGGGGACATTCAGACAACCTGTCTAGCCATCACACTGATAGCAAAATGGACTGCTGAACCACATTTTTTATATTAATGTATGAAATACTTATCTCACAATGAAACAAGAATTAAAATTAAAAATATATATAAACTGGGCACAAATGCACACTTGTAATCCCAGTAGTTTGGGAGGCTGAGGTAGGAGGATCATAACATCAAAACCAGCCTCAGCAAATTAGAATCTGTCTCAAAATAAAAAATAAAAAGGGCTGAGGATGTGGTTCAGCGGTTTAGTGCCCCTGGGTTCAATCCCAAGTACCAAAAATACTCATTTCCTTCAAAGAACTGACTATAAGACGTCTCCACCATTTTAATAACAGCTTTGAGGGGGGAATAAAGAAATGTTAACATTATTCATATGTTGTAAAATGCATCCTATTATCCTGAATCTTAAACTGTGAATAAAAACACGGGTCTTAGATTCAAAGCAATGAGTACTTAGGAGGTATACCTCATATTTAGTCTACTGTGACAGGTCACCTAAAGGGCAGGACATTTAGTACCTCTCTTTACCTCTGCAGTCCTAGCAGTGAGACCAGGGGGAAAAAAAAACAAAGAAAATACAGACAACAACAATTAAAAAAAAAAAAAAACCATAAATCACAGGACTAACAAGGGGAGAAATACTGGGAAAGGAAGCCCCTGACTTTTCTAGGGCTTCACTGAACCTTTTTGGTTTTCTCCAACCCAAATAGGGACATTGGGGGCCTTACTGAAGCCCCTCAGATCAAGACTGGGTCTCCTTCCTTGGGACACTCCATGGAGGGAAGGGGCCCCCTGGGAGCATGTCAGATGTGCATGTCCTCTGGGCTCAGGGCAAAGAATGCTGAAGTTCCTGCCCCAGCCTCTCAGATGCAGCATCAGTGTGTGACAGCCGGCACCGCCTGCCTAGCATAGCCCTGAATGCAAAGTTCACAGGAGGACAGAGCTGGTGCATGCAGCCTGTGGATTCAGGCTGAAAACCCCAACAGTCAAGCAAGAAAGACTGTCATGCCAGCTGCACAACACCACCCTCCCTGGCTCCATCTCCTCTCCTCCCTCACACACTCCCCGTCCCAGTAGGTAACCACTCTGGCTTGCTAGTGGCTTATCATGACCATAGGGCACTTTCCCATTTCTCCCTGCTTTGCTAAGGGCGGGCAGAGCTCCTGCCAGCAAGGCTGAGTGAGTGATTTATGTCCCTTCCAGGAGGACTCAGGTTAATAATAAATCAGGCAGCACAGGCATACTCTAACCAGCAGCTTGATATGCCCAGGAATTCCTCCTAATAGTCAGAAGAGAGTGTGTTCCAGGAACAGCCCGAGGAAGAGTGGAGACGCTACTCTCTGCTGGTCTCCGTGGGCTCTGAGACCCGGAAGTTCACAGGTCTCCAGTCCCAGGCTTCCCAGGAAAGCGCCTCTGCTCCAAGAGCTTGGTCAGCAGMGTGAACAGATGATTCACTTCCTCTCCCTCCTCCCTCTGCAGAAGAGGCTGAGAAAAGAGGCCCATTCACTAGCTTTTCTAGGCTAAAGAGACCAGGAAGAAGACACCCAAGCACAGGAATCCTCTCTACCCTATGCATTCTCCCAGCACTGATAAGCAAGAGGGTGGGAAGAGGCCAAAGTACACCATTTCCCAAGTCTTCAGCCTTCTGGGCGGTAGACACTATTATCCCCRTGGAGACGCCTGATTCTCAATTACTATCATGGCAGAAACCAGAAGAGGCTGGGACTGGAGCAGGAGCCCAGCACCCAGTGGGTGCTTTAATCAGAGCCTTCAATAACAGGGCAGTGTGCCCGGGGACAGGACTCCTGGTCTGGAAGAGGCTTTCAAACATACCAGTTTCTTGACTGCTCCCTTCTTTAAGCTTTGTGTTTACTTCCCCATCTTTACTGGTGGGGTCCTGTCTTTAACGTCAGCTTTCTGGATGTCTCCAACACGCCCCTTTCTGCATCTGCCCTGATTTGAGGGCAAGTGTCGGGATGAACCCTAACCTAACTTGGTGGCCTTACCTGGCTTTGTTTCCTCATTAAAAAAAAGGACCAGGTTGCATCATTGGAAAGCCCCCCCCCCTTGCAGCACTAATAGTCTATAATTATAGCCACTCTCCATTTTCAGTCTCTCCCAACATGCATTTTGTCTGAAAAGCTGGCCCAAAATAAAAATACCTGTAGGCAGATGGTTATCATGCCTCCACAGTTCCTCCCTCTATCTCTAGTTCCCACAGCTTGCTGCTGGAAAACTTTTTAATCTTTATGAATAGCAGGCATCTTTAAAAAATGACCTTTAATGTTTCTTATTTCTTATATCACCCAAGAGAATCAAGAACTTCTGCTACAGACTTTACAGTAGGGCCCAGAGCAGTAGCTATGTGCTCAGGCAGCGGGAGGAGGGCCTGTCTCCCTGACCCTACACAGTGTTCTCTTGCCTTCCCGTGGGAACTGTGCTGGCCAGTGGCTGCAATCAGATCTAAACCCGGGAGCTTCTGGGGTCAATCTGGCAAGGAGCTCTAGGTATCAGGAGGGAGGCATGGCTTCATGAATTAACGGCGTGCATTTACATAGTTCATTCATACCATTCATTTTTCTTTATTTCTTAGATATATATTAAGAGCCTCTTCCGACAATAACTCCATGATGCGTGTACTACTAAGCAGAGGATGGCCCCATGTAAGAAATACTCCGCGATCACACCCTTGCTCAACAGAGGGGAAAGCTGGAAGTTCTACAAAACTTATTAGCGCCCTGAGACTCAAGGGACATGTGGACTTCACACATATAACTGGGAATTATGTCTACATATTCCATATTACAGGGAATTTCATAGTACATATTACATCAGGATTTTTGTACTGAAAGGAAGGAAGAAATGAAGGAGGGAAGGAAGCGAGGAAACCCTAGTCTGTTACAAGCACACCTATCTTCCGGCCTGACGCAGGCTTCTGAACTTCTGGAAGCTCAACTGGTCAGAAGGCTGCAATTCACTGAGAGCCTCCCTCCCCACCAGGGACCTCAGGATCCTGTAACTTCTCAGGTGTTAATATTTTTAGGGCTGCTTTGAAACAGATGCTAACATGTGGCCCGTCTGTCTCCACCAGTGACCAGCAAGTGGCTGTCTTCTCCAGGATCAGAGGGCACTGTTCTTGACTCTGACTGGGGAACGATCCCTTCATAAATATGGCCATGGGCGAGGCAGGGGCTGAATTCTTACTATATGCAGCAGCTGCTACACTCTGAATTTAGAAAAGCCTGGAAGAGAGAATAAACATGCCCTGACACCGAAATAGTTTGAAATTCATAGGCAAACCACTGGTTCAAAAAAATCTACCAAAAAAAAAAAAAAAAAAAAAAAACCACCAACTTTGGCCAACAGCCAAAAGGGACATGAAACTAATTCAACTCTATAACTATATCCTGGTTATGTGTTGCTGTCAGATCACTGTCCCCAAATTCTGGCTTACAATTAAGGATCACAGGGGTGAGAAACCTTCCTGGTAACTATGACTATGTCACGGTCACCTCTTTGGGAAGTTTTTAATGATTTTGCGTACTAATTGGGTCAGAGGTTCTAAACACCAGTTCCTAAGTTTTCGTTTCAATTCCAATTCTACATCTATAGGAAGGACCTAGAGAGAAAAGCACCGGCATCTCCTTAGTGCATGTGCTTTGGAGAAGAGACAGCGTTTCTAGTGGGAAACCACCCACCACCTACAGCGCTCAGTGTGGAATCTTAAAAGGGCTGAGGGAAATGTGTACTCCTTTTGTGTTCTTATGTTTAGAAGGCAAAGAAGACTGACTAATCAGGATTTCAGTGGTTGGGAAGAACAGTTTAACCCCTACGGAGAAACGCAGAGCACAAGTTCAAACGTGGTACCGTGTGGTTTACCTTAGGGTAGAGTCCTCCTTTTCAGGTTTTGATGGGCACTTACATTGCTTCTACAGCCAAATGAGGACTGGGCTTACAGAGGAAGTGGTCACTGTGTTTTGAGCTTCTGAGCCATATGCATGAGTGCTGGGTTCCCTCTGTGCAGGGTTCTGCTGCCTCGTGGCAGCTGGGTCAGAGCAAAGATGGAGGCAAAAGACACGGTCCCCATGGTTTC